TGGACCCCTTTTATATTGTCATATATATGGCTCTATGCTAGGGCGCCAGGAAAAAGTTAATTATAACTTCTAAATACTCCATTAAGGGCCGTCCCTTCCTCTCTGCCTGGCTGCTTGGGTAGTGTGGCTTAATTAACTGGTTCATCGTGCAATTCTCAGACCTCGCCCCTTTTCATTCTACACATGGGCTGACCCAGAGCAATCCCTGCCCTCAGCAGTGTGCAGGATCCTGCGGGAGAAAGGGGAGCCTGGCAGGCTGGCTCAGTCAGGTGCCCCGGGCAACTTGGCAGGTGATTAAGTGAACAGAGGGGACAGGCTGCATGGGACAGACGGAGCAGCAGGGTCAGAGAAACAGCCCAAGCAGTTAGCATCAGCCTGGAAGGCTAGGGGAGGGGCATGGAGTCCCAGCTGGGATGGTCCCACTAGGAGGTGAGTGTAGGGTAGACAGAGCCCAAAATCCTGGCGACACCCAGGAGGAGGTGTCTCAGGGAAGCACTGACTACAGCTATAGAGAGAGGTGCAGGCATTTGCAGGTCTGGGTGGCAGCTAGAGCTCAGGGCCCCAGTGGCTGTCATCTAGGACACAGGTGGATGAGAAGTCAAGGATGAGCTCTGCCAGGGGCTCCTCCAGGGCGGGAGGAGGAGCCTCGGGAAGGCCGGCAGGAAAGCTGGGGAGGGAGAACCTCCGAAGATGGCTGGGGCCCCAGGGTAGAGGCTGGCGGGGAGGAGGCAGAGAGAAGACCAAGACACCCGGACCACCACTGCCAGCCACGGACTTGGAGCTTTCTGGCATCCTGCGAATCCTGCTCTTGGGCTGACAGTCGCTCAGATGGCAGCGGAATCCAGCCTGGCGTCCTCGCCTCAGAGAGGAGACTGAGCCACTGCCTGGAGTGGGACCTGTGCCGCAGTGTTCTCGGCACCAACGGCCACCATGTTGCTGGCTATGGAGGAGCCGGGGAATTCCAGAGAGTTCTTGTCCCTTTCCAGCAACTCTGGATCCTCCTTCCTTGCTCTTTAGAACTGAAGAACTTGCTCTTGGCCATTTTTTAGCTGCTCACTGGGCCAGGTACAAACCAAGCTGGCACTTCAATGCCATGAATATATTTGGGTTATGAACGGCCAAGAGGACAGAGGTTCTGTACAGAGGGCACTGCAATCCCTAACCCAGTCTTTTCCAAGGACCCCGGTGGGTAAAGTGCAGACACCACTCAGCCAAACCCAGAGCAGGGCTCCTGACAACACCGGTCCATGGCGGGGTGGGGGGTCAAAACTGACTGGGTTTTAAATCCGGGCCGTCTTAGGGGTAGAAGGACCTGGAGGTGGGCAGGGCCCGGGGACACAGGGAGGCTCTCGGAGAGCTTCGGAGCAGCCGGATGACCCAGGACTGACCCCAGGACACGCACCAGACACCGGGGAGGCCGAGCTTTCCTCAACCTGAGCCCATAATGCTGAGGGAAATAAATCAGACAGGAATGTTAAATATCACATGGCCTCACTTACCTGAGAATTCTAAATCTAAATGAAGAGTAAAATGGAGGTGAGATGGTAGGGAACAGGACGGTAGACTTGTCGGAGACAGGGAAGGGGGTCAGGGAAAGGCGGGAGTGGGAGAAAGGGGATTGAAAAATCACCAAGATACAATGTATATATGTCCCAGCTTCCCAGAATGGATATAATCATTATGCATCACAAATACCAATAAAAAAGAACAATGAGTTTTGCCTCTTTTTTTTTTTTGACACTACCAGAACAATACACACTCCCTTTAGGAAATCAGGGAACAAAGGGAAAAATCATAAAGCAGAAAATAATTTCCCATGATCCTCCCAACCCAGACAGCTATTCCAGAACATTCTGCAGCCTCAGCCCTGGCTCCCTCCACTCTGTGCAGTCCAAGGTGGCTTTGGAAAACTCTGCAAAGCGACCCCTCTGGAACACTCCCCAAAGCCACCACGAAAGAGAGTCAACACCAAATCTGGACCCCCGCACCCTGCACACCCTACACTCTCGGCCGCCTCTGGGCTTCTGCAGCCAGGGCAACCTGTTAGGATGCTCAAGGAGGCCCCAGGACCACTCAGCTATACCCTAAATGGCCTCCTCCATCACATCCGGTGTCCTTCCTTGGCAGATTCCTGTCACTCTCCCTAAGGGTTCTTATTGTTTTTTGGTGTTGTTTTCCAATACTAGGGATTGAATTCAGGGCCTCTGCACTGACCTAGATTCCCAGCCATTTTTTATTTTTTTTTTTTTTTTTTTTTTAAGGCAGGGTCTCACTAGCTCCCTCAGTTGCCCACACTGGGCTGGAACTTGTGACCTTCCTGCCTCAGCCTACCCCCACCGAGGGAAGAGCCCTCATTTTGAAAATGCCAGTCCAAAGAGTAATCATAACACTTACATAGAACTTTACAGTTTACAAAACTTGATTTCTCCCTCCATCTCCAGAGGAAACAACCTGTCCACTTGTATTCAAAACGAAGCCACAGAGCCCCAGAGAAGTGGTGTAGCCACCACAGTTACCCAGGCGGGAAGCCAATCAAGGTGCCCAGGTCGAAGCAGCAGTCACACCCGCACTTCTCATCAGAGGGGCTTCACCCTAGGAACAAGCCAGGCGATGACAGAGAGAAGACACTGAGAGCTTGTGAGCCCTACCATCTAGGCGTGAATCCCAGCTCTGTCCCTGCGTGGCTGCATGACATTGGGCAAGTTCCTTCCCTCTGCTGGGCCTTGGTTTTCTACCTGAACAAGCAATAGCTCCTGCCTCACCCATCATCAGGAGGATCAAATGAGGTAATAATGCACAAGGACACAGAACAGGGCCCGGCACACACGAAGTGCTCCAAGAACACTAGTCCCATGCACAAGGCAGATTACACATGGCCCACATCTCAGCTGTGACCACCGAGCCTGGGAGACCAGATCCACCGGCTCAGGAAGGTGAGTTTCTAAGCAGGGGAGACTCCCCCCAAATCAGCTGCCACTGCACTTCTACCCGACACTGCTCGTTTTGCTCTCAGGAGCAAATTCCCAGCCACTCCCTCAAACAATAGAGGACAGCGCCCCTTCAGTCTAGAGCCACCTCCACTCCAGTGACAGCCCTAAGATCTGCAAACCTTCGAGGCAGAAACAAAATCCAAGACAGACCCAGGGAGTAGCCATTAAGGAAAGGAAGACACCCTGTAAATTCACCCTGTCCGCCCATCACCATGCAGGCAAGCAGGACACAACCTGACCACGGTGTGCAGGATGAAGCTGGGCTCCTCCCCAAGTCCCATCTGCTGCTGAGCTGCAGGAAGAGGCCTTTCTAAAATGTCCATCCCGCGTGCTGGCTCTCCAGGCTGCAACCTCCTGGTTCCCTCACCACAGAGCCCTGGTCAGGCCACCATCGGCCCTTTTTTCCAGCCAGGGCACATGATTCCTCTAGGAGGGGATCCTACAGCCTCGCTGGAGACTCCACTCCATGCGCAGACAGCCACCTCCTCCATCACCTTCCAGGAGAAGCATTGTTCCCCACACCCACAGCCCAGGGGTTGTGTGGTTCATTCATTTGCTCCATTTTGACAGAAGCCCGTTGTGGCCAATTTTCCTCCATTCAGAGGGAGTGAAAACAGTAACCACTGTGACCAGCCACTGCCAACCTCGACAAGGCAGAGGTGGGAAGGCACCCGCACAAGGTGCCTGGCACCAAATGGTTGCCCATTCCATGGTGACTAGGGGTCCCTGCCTTGAAAAGACCCCTGGCCCAGCCAAGTGGGATTCTGCATTGTCTGAGACCCACAGCAGGTAGATAAGGAACCAGGCTGGGCAGAGGGTCCCTGCCAGGAGCAGCCGAGAGACAGAGACAGCACAGTCAGGTGAGTGCCAGGCACCAGCTGGGCTGGCCCGTAGGAGCCCTTGCCCACCCCAGCCGTTATGCACTGCACAACGCTGGATTAGAATTTTCTGTTTGAAAAATCGATATTTAAAGCACAGAGCCTACCAAGAGGAGGAGAAGGCCTAGCTAGTAAATATTTGCCTCTACTGGCAAAGCCTGGCCTCTCACTACCACAGCTACCCCACCTCGCTTCGGGCCCTCTGCTTCACAGCTCCCCACCAATTGCACAGCAGGGAGCCCCCACCCCAGGCAAGAGGACTGTGGCTGGCGGCTGAGGGGCGTGGGCTGCATAGGGAGGTGGGTTAGCCCCACACTCCATCTTTGCCCTAGAGAGCCTGATTGCCAGGCTGCTCAGGGGCCCATCCATCCCAGGGCGGAGGCAGAGACAGTGGGATGTTTCTCTGGATCACAGGCAAGCACATTCACCCAAGGGGTACACTAGGTTTATTTCTTTCTTATTTTGGAAAAAAAAAAAAAAGCACAAAGCCCAAACACAGAACCCAAAGGATGTGCTTGGAAATCATCGCTCACCGCCAGCCCCTGCATGGGGCAGTGCTCTGTCACCAACGTCAACAGCTGCCCACAGGAGGAGCCACATCTGGTCCCCAGGGCTCCACCAGGGGCCGCAGAGGCCAAGCTGAGCCCTCAAGGGGTGGCCACGCTGGTACCACTACGCACAGCCTGGTACCTGCCCTGGCATCGCTATTCCTAGAGAGATTCACTCATTCACCCATGCAACCATTCATTCATTCATCAGTTATGTACTGGGCACCTCCCCGTGCAGGGCATCGGGGGCTGGACACGAAGGCATAAAACGAATGTGAACTAAGTTCCATTGAGAGAGGGTCACCCAGGCTTCAAAAATAGTCTCAAAGGGCCAGGGATTTAGCTCAGTGGTACCGCGTCTACCTCGCAAGCAGAAGGTCCTGAGTTTGATCCGCAGTACCAAAAACAAAAACAAAAAAAAGTCTCACAAATGGAAAGTCACAGGGAGCCAGGTGCTGTCAGGGAGGTCTGAGGTGGGGCAGTCACGGAGGGGCAAGAGGTCAAGGAGGCATGCAGGGCAGGTACGGCAATGGCTGGGCGTGTGGCAGGAGAGTGGCAGGAAAGGCCACAGGCCAGGGACCTACCCAGCCATTCGTTGAATTTCTTCACCTCGCTTGGGAGCCCCAGCTCCGTGAAGTCCCCAGCGTGGATCAGCACGTCGCCATAGGGCATCTGGATGGGGTCCGTCCTGGAGTGGGTGTCGGAGACACAGACGAAGCGTGTGTAGCCAGGTGGCTTGGGGGCATCATGCGGCACCGGGTCCACCCTGTGGGGAGAGAGACACCAGGGGTCGCAGGGGCTTGCAGGACCAAGAGCCTGTGGAGTGGGCAGCTCACAGCCCCTTCAACTCAGATCGGGTCCAATCAGACACAGGCCCAGCGCCCAGCCTTCCAGAGGGCCCACATGGGTCTAGATCCAGACTCTCTCAGTCAAAACCAGACAAAACATTCTCGTCCCCTGAGCCTCGGTTCGCCCCTATGCACCATGGGAGCCTCTAAGGACTGTGGCCAAAGATCACGAGTGACTCTGGTCCCTGTGCCCATGCACAGCTGGCTTTAGTGTGACATATTGCCCTAGACCGAGGCCACGTTTCCCAACTTTCAGCTGATTACCATCTATTTCTATGCAATTTCAACACCACAGAGACTCTGTCCATCTGTCCACCTACTGCCTGTTTGTCTATGCTTTTAGACAGAAGGGTCAGGGTTTTTTTCACGCATCAAAAACCATTTTTCACCGCTGGGAGGCGCTACAGTCTGCACTGAGGACACCTGGACTAAAGTCCCCGTCAGTAAAGAGTTTGCCTGGTGCTGAGCAGATCACAGGCAGATCCAAGGACAGCAGGGTGGGAAAGGAAGAATTCTCAGGAAGCCGTGGAACTTGGGCACTCAAAGCCAGGAGGCAATTTTTCTAAACTGTGAGGCAGTGAAGTCATTCTTAGACTGAGAGCCTTCCAGGCTTGAAGATGACGACGCCCCCACTTGGGAATCAGAAGCCCAGGCTTCCTATCCCAACTCTGCCGCTAGTCACTCAGGCGCGACCTTCAGCAACACTTACAGGTTTGCACATCTGTAAAACAGAGCTACCTCCCCGGGCAAAAACACTCCGAGATTTCCAAGGAGCAGCACAAAGGGAAATCTTTGTTCCTGGGAAGCCAGTGGTGGCCTCTTACTTTACAGATGTGGACTCTGACATCTGGCAGGCTGGGCGTGTGCCCCGGAGTCCCTAGAGCCTGGGTGTGGACAGAGCCCAGGACCCAGCTCCTTGCTCCCCGTCCAGGGCTCTTCCCTCCCCACACTGCCTCCCCAGATGAACGGCTCCACCAGGCTCCAAACGCTTAAAAACAACGCAATGACATTTCAACAAGCAGCTCTCTCCAAATGAGTATGCCGCTCGAGGAGTTGTGCTTAAATCTAATTATGCGGCAAACCAAAAGCAGTACCATATCAGTTACATAAATACTTTTAAAGACATCTTTCTAATTATCCTTTTTTTTCAGACAATATATTTTGAAGAAATTTAATTAACACCTTATGAGAGACGTGGGTTCAGAATGCTAATGTGCAGGGCGCATCCGCGGTTGGGATCAAGGCAGGTGGAGGCGCCGTGCCAGCCTCACTCCCGTGCCAGTGTCGCTGAGGCAGGGTGTGCCCGAGGCCCCAGAGAATCCCAGCAGGTCAGACTGGGTCGAACTTGCTGTTCCCTGAGTGTGCCTGGGGGTGACCAGCCAGGAAGGGTCTTCCTCGTCCCTCTCCGCTCCTCCCCCTGCCCTCTTCGTTCACCACGACACATCTGAGCGCCTGCGATGCCGAGCCAGCGGGGGCCCCAAGGAGGAACTGGTCTCCGTCACTGCCCAGCTGACATCCCCGACGGGTGGCAGAGACAGACTCGGCCTTTCGGTGACCACACAGCCACCATCCATGACGGAGCACAAGAAGGGCTGTGGCCCTGACCAGGTCTGGGTGCTCCCAGAAGCTTCCAGCCAGCGGCAGTGCATCAGCAGGTCTGGAAGCTGAGCTCCCCCTCCCAGTGCTCCCTGCCTCCCCTCTGTCCTCTGGGACCCCAGAGGCAGCTCTCCAAGACAGACAGTCTTGCAGGTAGCTGGCCGTGGCCCCTGACACCCTCCCTATCCTGATAGCGGATTGGACCAAGCGCCCTATCACTACTGAGCTTTCAGCCCAGCACAGAAACCTGAGGGAGCCGATCAAACCAACCCATTCAGCATCCTCCCCACCTCTCCTCCTGAAAGTGCGAAGTGCCACGACCAAGTCAAAGAGACGGGGCACGCAGTGCCACCCAGAGCCGTCTCACTTGGGCCCAGCAATCTCCAAATCGCCTCCAGAATGCAGGATCCTGTGCACCCCAGCTCACGGCGCCGCCAGGCAGCCAGAACTCTCCAGCCTGGGCCTGCTGCTGCAGCGCAGCTCTTTAATTAACTCTGCCTTATTTCCCTGAACCCCGAGGCTTCTGCGCACAGAGAAGATACGAACCCAGCAATCCCTAGAGAAAAACATAAAGACTTATTTCCTGCTCAGTCCTCCAGCTATTTGGATTGTACGAATGCTCAAGCTTGAAATGATATAACGGTGCCGATCTGGTCGACTCCGCAGATCACGAGTGCTTCCGGGTTCAGCACTTGACCTGCATTTGCTCTCTTCGCCTTCCTGGTGACTTCCTAAGCAGCGTGCAGTGAGCGGCCCCATTTTATAGAGGAGAAAACCAAGGCTCGGAAAAATCTGATGGACCCAAGTCTCAGGTATGGAAGCAAGGCAAGCCGGAATGGAAATCTGAAGCGGCGTCTGGGTCCAGAACTCACAGCAGGCTGGGCCATCTCCAGGGCCCACTGCATTTCTTTCCATCCACCTACAAAACGTCAGGCACCTGCTGGGTGTGCGAGATGCACCTGCAGAGGGACTGCGCACAGAGGCTCCCAGCAGGGAGCTCCCAGGACCCCTGCCTGCGTTTAGAAATGGGGAAGAAATTAGGAAAATAAGAGGTCTGCAAAAAGAATCAATAAGAAGGCATTGTTCCTGAGGCTAGACCCAAACCTGAACTTCTTAGCTAAATAAGTAAGCTGAGTACTCTTTTTTGTCTGTTAAGGCAATTTAAGTTGTGTTCCTGGCATCCGCAATAACAAAACCCCAGGTAACAGCTGACCCACAACAGCCCTGAGGTCTAAGCCACCGAGACCTGGCCAAGTAAGTCCCATGCCCAAGGTCCAAGATATTAAGCGAAAGAGTCGGCCTGCATGACTGGAATTTGGACAGCAACACCTTCTTGCGATAGGGGAAAAGATAAAAAGCAAACTGGTTATTTCCCAGTAACATCCCATAGGGCAAGACATAAAAGCATAGAAACAAATGTTTTCTCTTTCTTGGAGCCAAACCAAACTCCCTGATTTCTGCCTGCTGGGGTGGCTCTGAGACCCTAAACCCACCACCAGCTCCCCCTGGCCTGACACCCATCCTCTCCCAGGAGCGCGGGTGGCAAGAATTACAGAATGGAGGACACGATGCCCAGTGCCCAGGCCCAGGCTGGCACCCGAACTGGGGACCTCTTCGCTGTGCCCCAATCCTCCAGGCTCCCGCCCAGCTCTGCAGGTGGGACTAGCTACTCAGTATCTGGGGCTTAGTGACAGTGTGTCTGCCCCAGCTCAGAGCGCTGATGCCCCCTCCCTGCGTCAGCGCTCTGTCCCCAGAAGTCATCCGCTCCCTGGCAGCACCATGCTGAAATCAAACACTCCCACTGGCCTTAGAGGCAAAAACTGTTCTTCCCCCAGAATCCCTCACTGTACCTGGCTCCTCTCTCCCTCTCCACTCTGCGTTGAGCTTAGAGGTGGATCAGGGTGCCTGGGAAATCAACCCGGGATTGGGGGTGGGCGGGACAGGAACCACAGGCAAGCAGCTCTGAGCACCAAGAGCTGGGTGGGGCCAGATGGGGTGGGCCCTGGTCTTGCGGGGGCCAGGGAAGTGACCCCCTGGGTGGGGCCTAAGGAGGGAGGAGGTGGAGAAGCAGCGGAATCAGCATGCCCAGGCGGGAGGAGGGGAGGGTGCAGAATATTGGGGAGATTGGGGAGCACTGCATCCACTGCATGGCAGGACAGTGATGCAGGAGGGGGCCGGAGAGCCAGATGTGCCTGTGCTGGGATCAGTGTGCCAAGCTGGCACAGCCCAGAGGGCCACAGCCAAGGGACAAAGGGGCTCCTCCCACTGGCTCTCCCGGCCCTCCTTATACTCTGAGACCTAGCAGCTGGGCCCGGTGCATCTGAGTGGGGAGAGCTTGTCTAGTATGTGCGAGGTCCTGGGTTCCATCCCAGCCCTGTCAAAAGACAAACGCACTAAAACCACGACAGCCTGACGGGCTCAGAGGCTCCTAAAGGGGTGGCCCAGGTCTCCCCCACAGGTCCTCCTAAAAGTCCAGAGGGAAGAGGTGCGGACCTCCGGGGACCCTGTCTCCCCTCACTCGCACTCATTTTATCGGTGACCACCAGACCTTGCCTGCCCAGCCAGGGCTCCCTGAGGCCCCCAGGGCCAGAAGTCTCCTCGAGCCCCCAGTTCAGAGGCCCAGCTCTGGGGCTTCATTATAAAGGCAGCAGCGCCTTCCTGGCAGGGTCTGGAGCAACTGCATAAATCACACAGCTCAATCAGAGGCCATGTTTGCACTGCCGCTGTTGTTATTAAATATAAATTGTGGGTTTATTAAATAAGGCCCCCTTGCTCCCTCACCCTGGAGACAAAGCCCAGGGCGGCAGTAAATCCCACATCGGGAAGCGGCGTCCTCCTCCTGCCTCTCCCAGAGCAAGGCAGGGGCTGGCTCGCCATGGAAACCCACTCTGCCACCTCCAGATGCCTGCGTGCTTCCTCCAGGGCAGGACAAGGTATCTGAATCAAGGGGTGGGTGGCAGCAGCCCCCTGGGTCCCTGTACCCACCCCGGCTTTACCCAGCTCCACGCAAGGTTGGGGTTCAAAGCCGGAGCCGGGAACAACAAAAGCAGGCACCCTCACTGCCACTAAGCTTTTTCCTCACAGCACTGATTCCTACTGGTTTCACACGCGCTCTTAAGACACCTCTGCCACCTGTCACTATCGGCCTGGAACGCGGGTCCCTGCGGGGAGGTGTTCGTCCTCCATCCCTGCAGAGTCCCAAACACCAAGCCCAGTCCTGACGGGTGCCCTCGATGCTGGACATTTGCCACCCACCTTGCCTCACTGTGTGGATTTACCTACTTCACGTCCAGGGTAACAGCTGGCAGCAGCCCTTGATGGCTGGGCAAGCTAAGGCACCAAGAGGTCAGCCAGGCAGGCTAGCCCAGGGCCGGCGTTCCCACCCCGAAGGTGGCCCGGCTGCGCACGAACATCCCAGACGAAGGGAGGAAGGACCGGTGGCGGTGGCGGTCCCTGGATAGGTGGCACTCCTCGCCGCCCTTCCTCGGGACACAGCCCGAGCCCTGGGACCCGAGGTGCCTCCTGAACAGCTCCCACACCACTCCCTGGCCCTGTCCACCTCCAGCTCAGGGTCTCCAGCCAGAAGTCAGCTTCTGGGTGGAGACTGACAGGGGCCTCCTCAGCCTTCTCTTTTCCCCGACTCTGTTCTCAGATGAGGGTCTCCCCATGGGGCCGCCTAGTCTGGGTGCAGGCACAGCCAAGGCCAGTTGTACATGGCATCTCTGGGGTGAGGGGACCCCCCGGAGAGTCTGGGGACCTCAGTCTGGCCTGGCTGGAGGATTAACTCACCCGCAAAAGAGAGAATCCAGCCCAGTGAGGCTCCCTGCTAGGCTCAATATCCCAGAGACTCAATAACCACATGCCTGAAGCCCAGGCCTCTATGCTGCCCTAATCCACTGAGCTGGTCCCAAAAAGAAAATCAAAGGCATCTTCCCAAAGGGAAATCTTCTCCAAGATACAACAGCAGGCAACTTCAGCCACACAAGGCCTGCAGCAAGCACTGGGGGAAAGATGGTGTTCCTGCCACAGGGAGACACCCCAAGGCCTGTGCCCGCCCTCCCACGCCCTTCCTCATTGAGTAACCCGCCAGCACCCGCCTTTAGCTGAGGCCAGGCCTGAGGCAAGCCATGCAGGTTTGGAGACTCCCAGCTCCTTCTCTAAGTGGGCGGCTTCTCCAGTCCCGAGGGTCAGAGATCTGCGCCCCATGGGTCATCTGAGGCCACTGGTGGTCATCAGTGGGTCTTCCTATCCTGTCACAATTCTGACCTCCCAGGCTGCCACTGGGGAGTCATCTGTCTCTTTCTTACCCCGGGGCTCAACTGTGACTCCCACAGAACCAGGCAGGCACCCCAAGCCAACATACAAAGGATGGAACTCTCCGGTGGAGGTAGTACCTCCACACGTGTCCCCACCACAGGACCCCGGGGTGCTGAGCATGAACAGAGCCCCAGACTAGGGTTGGGCCACTTGGTTCAAGGGCAGCTCTAGCTGTGCGGGACAATGGGAGGAGCAAGGGGGACAAAAGTGGGGCTGGGGGTTTATCCACCTCCACCCTCTGGGACCTCAGAATCATCCACGAAGGGACACAGGCCCAGGGACAAGGGCTCTATCTGTGCTATTCCAAGGGTCCCCGCGACCTTGCAGCTGGGCACTGCAGTGCCTCCATCAGAGCTCAAGGGAGTAGCAGGGCTCTCTAGACCTATGGGCAGAGCCCCTCTGCTCCCCCCAGAGCACAGGCAGCGGGACTAAAACGACTGGGGACAGCTGACCCAAGACTGTGCTCCTACGTGGCACCCAGCCTGTGGCAAGTCCTCTCCGCCATCTGAGACTCAGTTTCACCATCCTACTTAAATCAGACCAGGGGTTATGAACCACATAGCAAGTGGGGGGGCAGCAGAAGTCAACACTCCAGATGTCACCCGAGGATGAGTAAGCCTGGGATGTCAGAACTTCCAGTTTTGTCCATGGATCACACTATCTTTAAATATCTGGGAAACAGTCGCCTGGCCCAATAGGGCAGGACTGGGGGCCACCATCGGCACCAACATCGACCTGCAACTTCGTGCCCATCCCTCCCAGGGCCTCCCGCACTGCACAACATCTGGCCACAAGCGCGGACGGCCTGCTAACGGCGCGGAGTCCCCGAGCCCGCCCGGGGGCTGCACCAACCCCACCCCCCAGCCAGTCACTTACATCTGCACGTGCGGAGGCTGGAAGCGGCCCTGGTTGATGTTGTAGAAGGTGAAGGCCTGAGTGGGGTTGGAGCTGTACTCGTCCACCTCGATCAGCAGCCTGCTGTGCTGGTGCCGCCGGGCGGCCATCACGTGGGACTGCGAGAAGGCCATGCCCAGGCCGCAGGGGAGCAGGGCCAGGGCCTCGGC